AGGGCTCTAGGGACCATACCGTGCACAGAGAACTGTTCCTCTGCAGGCACATCTGTGCCTTTCATCAGCAGGGCTTAGGGAATACTCTCATCAGAATGGAAAGAGTTCTTCGGAGCCAACAGGCTCTCATCCTCCACCCTCACCCTCCACAGAGCCTCTATCCCATGGGAAAGTGAGCACAGAAAAGTGTCCCTCGTGTTGCCATCCTTGGGCAGAAGCTATCATGTAGCACGCAGAGCTGGGCTGGCAATTGGCAATGTGCAAACATTCTCCTGCCAAATGAGCTCACTAAGGCAGCCCTTTGCATTCACCCACTCTTCTTCTGCCTTGTGACTTTGGGGAGCACACCAGTCCAGCACGCACTAGGAGCAGCAAGGCTGCACAGCTGGGTTTGGCAATTAGAGGTGCGGATGCTCGGTGCTGCCTGAGCTGGGCTGTGTGGTGACACGGCTCCTTCAGAGGAGATCAGTCACATCTGAGAAATGTTCCTGTCACCAGCTCTCCCTTTGAAGGGTGGGGGTGGGGGCCTGCGTCCTCCCCATGGCTTTGGCCCGCAGTCTGAGAAATGTCGAGGTTAGGAAAAGCTGAGTTTCATTTGCTTTTCACAGATTGGGTAATGAATTTTTCATCTTAAAGTATTGCTCTTGCCTGAAAAGCAAGTTTGTAGCTCTGGCATCAGGGGGTTCCACATTAATCTCTCAGTTGGTTTGGACTACATTTCCTCAATTTTCATGTTTTCTAACCCTGTAAAATAAATGGGAAGCCTGAGGCTTTAGTGGGTTTTCCTTTTCATCCACCTCTATCTGTGTGCAGATTTTGTTAGCTAACACTTCATACTGATCTCCTACACCAGTTTTACTTTTGCAAAGAAGACCAGGCAAAACTGAGGTGCAGGAAGGGAAAAAGCATCAAGAATGTCTGTCACTAGACAGAGTACTTCTAATTTTGATTACAAATAGGAAGCAGAACAATGCAATAAAAAACAAAGGCATCTTTCTCCCTAGCCTTAGCTGCATCCATCTTTTTTTTTCCTCTCCTCTGTGGCTGCATTTTGATAAAACTCCATGGAAGAACAAGCAGCTCAAGGAGGCCTCCAGCTCCCCTCTTCCCTTCCATCCCCCATGTTGGGTTACCCCAGTGTCAGCTCTGGGTGCTGCTCATGCAGAGCTCACAAAGAACCAGCGCAGCCAGCAGCATCAATCTGCTTTATGCCTTGCTGCTTTTAACGTGGCAGGGAAATACAACGTGGTGTTTTAATTTGTCTAAATGGCTTTAGACAAGGTTAACACAACTCATCAATAAATGCCACTTTTTATTTAAGTTGTATTTACAATGTCATTTCACCAGGCTGGACAAGTCCCACCTCCTCAGTATAGGCAGTGGAGTTGCTTCAGCTGTGCTTCCTGGAACTTCATGAGGTAATGTCCATTGAGGACCTGAGGGCTTGCACACAGCTAAAGAGCCTCACTGTTTTCCCGGATTCCTGTGCTGGCAATTGGAGCTCAGATCTCTGAACCTCTCCCTCCTAGGTCCCTGCCTTGATATACCTTGTCCCTAGAGAAGCCACTGGTGGCTGCTTGCTCCTCTTCTATCACGAAAGGAGCAAGGAAAAGCTGAATGTTGTTTAATCCTTCCTGCCTTTCCCCAGAGGTGGGTTTTGCACACCTGGGAGATGTGTAGATAGGATCTGGTCATGGTCCAACTCACAACAGAGAGAATGAACAGAAACTGTCAGAATCACTGGAGTATGATAAGAGTTCAGCTTAGTTTATAGTGTAATCAGGAACACCATTTTAGTAGAGGGAGGTTTAGCTAAGGCTAAAACACAGTTCTCTCCTGTATACTATGAGGTTTTCTGTCCTCAGCATTGCTTTAAAACTTTGCTAAAATACCATTATGTTTATGCTGTTGTCAACTTCTCTGCTCACTCTCTTTTTCTACAGGAATATTCCATTCTACTGAGATCTTCAGAGCAGCAGAGAGACTCATTGCTACAGAAGGCACAGAGGTGAGAAGCCACTCCTTGCTGTGATGCTACAACCCCCCCTCCACTGCACTCTGCTTTCAGGAGGAACCAGGGAAACAGTTCCCAGCATCAGTGGCACCCAGTCTTTATCTCTGCCTTGCACAAAGGGGCAGGGCAAGTAGGGCTCTAAGCTGCCAAAAGCCCACAGACAAGGAAAAAAGAAATGACAGCCAGCTCTAAATGGCATCTGCTCTCAGACCAAAAATCAAGAGGATAAAACAATCAGAAGCAAGGCTTGTTGAAAACACAGCTCCCAGTTCTCACTTTTTGAAGCTGAGTTTTGCTCGGGGAAACAGAGCTGAAGAGCAGTGTGCCATGCACACTCTGGTTACAGCATTGACTTTTCCCAGCCAGGCTACTACTGAGCACTGTGAGGTGAGGAGGTGGCTGTGGCCCGGGGACACTCACAGCTGCAGTGACCAGGGACAAACAGCTCCTCTGTACCAAGGCATGCAGGATGCCTGGGGCACAAGGAGGGAGGAGGAGTCCAGGCAGAGATGAGGTTTATTGAGGGTGGTTGATTAGAGGGGGAGGCAGAGAGGAGAGCAGGCCCTAGTTTGGAAGCGAGGTGTAGGGAGTAGGAAGCAGGGAGCAATGGGATGTTTGGGTGGACTACAGCTTTTAGGAAGAAGAATTTTGCCTTGCATATTGCTTGGGGCTAGCCGCCTCAAAACCAAGCTGATCCATGGGAGGCAGTGAGCCTACTGATGGACAGACTTGAGAGCCTTATTCATGCTAAATCATCAGATAGCTGCAGATGTAGCTGAGAAGGAAGGACAGATGGACAAAGGCAGGCTGGGAAGCTGAGGGTGAGTTATTGAATGTGGAGAGGCATCTTGTGGCTGAGTTGAGCATGGCTGTAGGCTGGGGAGCAGTGTTGCCAGCAGGACCTGGGGCAGCCTGGCTCGGCTTCACTCTGATGAAGCTCTCAACTCTTTCAACTCTTTGGAAGGGTAGATAACAGCAGGATGAGGAGAAATGTTTTTAAGTTGAGGAAGGGAAGATTTAGGCTGGATGTCAGGAGGGAGTTCTTTACTATAAGAGTGGTGAGGTGCTGAAACAGGCTGCCCAGAGAGGCTGTGGATGCCACATCCCTGGAGGTGTTCAAGGCCAGGTTGGATGGGGCCCTGGGCAGCTTGGTTTAGTATTAAATGGGGAGGTTGGTGGCCCTGCCTGTTGCAGGGGGTTGGAGATTCATGATCCTTGAGGTCTCTTCCAACCCTGGCCATTCTGTGATTCTGTGATTCTCCAGCTGATTTCCTTGCTTAGCTACTAAATAGCCCATATTTTTGCCTTGCTAGGCACAAAGGGGGAAAAAAAGGCAAAAACTCTCACAAAAACCAACCTGTGCCCAGCCAGACCAAAACAGAAGTCATTTAGCAGGCCAGTGGGGAAGCTTTAATGTTCCCAAACATCTTGGCATGGTCTATTCTTAATACTAATTTAGAATAATTATAGAATTTTATATTTAGAATAATTTAGAATAATAGCTGGAATCTGCGTGCTGGGAGCAGGAGCTGTCCTGCGGCCTGTTCCAGCTTTCCTGGGATCTGGTGAAGGAGAGAGCATCAGTCATATCAAAGAGGTGTGAGAAGTTGAAAATAGAAAGTTTGGTGTATGGAACTGAAACTGAGCCATGGGGAACTTGCCACAAGAACTGTGCAGTGGCCCCTGGCTATTTAAAGCCCCACTACCCACTGTGCAGCTGGGCACGGGGGGCTGCCTGTCTGCAGCTTGTGCTGCTGCACCATGGGACTGTGGTCCTGCTGCAGGGGATCCCACTGTCCACTGCACCCCATCAGAAGGCAGTTGCGTCTGCGTTTCACTGCTGCAGCTTTCTCTGCAATGCGTCTCCAGTGCCTGCTTTCCCACAGAAAGACAGCTTTCCAACCTAGCCTGGTTTGGTTTTATGGTCCCAAACTCAAGCTTTACTGCTTTGAGATAATTCAAGCAATTCCCTTCCTTCCTTCATATTGTTCCCTTAAGGTATTTATAGGCAGAACACTCATCCCCACAGAGTTGTCCCTCTCTACTCCTTCTATCTACCACCTTGGGCTTCCTAAACCATCTGATGGTGGCCACAGAGCACCGCATGGTCCTGCAGCTCCTCTGGCCTCCCAGGGAGAGCAACCTCCATAAACAACCCATCCTGTGCAGGGCTGCCCCAAGCTCACTGAAGCTGACTGCATGGATGGAAGTGGGCAAAGCTTTTTTAACTGATGTTGGTGACACGCACAGGGTGAGTGGGTAGGAAGAAGCAACGCTGGGGTGGCCACTGGGGGGGCTGCCCATCCCACAGCTCCATCTGCTTGCAACGATGCCAGCTGGTGAAATCGCACACGTTATTGGCCAGATCTGACTTTCTGTGCCTTGGAAGCGGTCTCTGTGATTGTTGCGGGTTGTTTTCAATAGCTCTCAACTTACAAGGTCTTTTATTATTAAAAAAAATTAAAGTAGTTAAAATTTGGATTAAATTAAACCGAGCGGGCTTTGTTGTCCCCTGGAAGCTGTTTATGTAACATCTGTTTTGAATAACTTCAAAGCTCAGTGCATCCCGACCAAAATAAAATGGTGAAACCCCAATGCTTGCTGTGATGTTTCAGAAACATCAGCACGTGCACCCCTCTGCTCGGCGGCATCCCAAACACAGCCCCGGCGTTGGGCTGGGGCCAGCCTGTTCTGTGCAGCTGGCAGGGAGCAAGCAAAAGCATTCAGAGGCACCTTTACAAATGCCTGTATTTTTTTCTTCCTTTTTTTTTTTTCCTTTTTTCTCTGATTAAAAAAAGAGAAAAGCACTGTTAATTGCGGTGCTGGCATTAACGCGCGGTGCTCTGTCTGCCTCCCGCCTGCGCCCCGCTTTCCGCTGACCTCCGCCTCCTCCTCCTCCTCTTTATATATTCATGAAGCACAGGGACACAGCGGGTGGGGCGCGGATAAATAAAAGCTGAGTGAGCTGAGACTGCACACAGGAAGAGGAACTGTGCATGCGGCCACTCTCCAGGACGCAGCCCGCTGCTCGTCTGGGCCCTGCCGGCTCGCCAGAGAGACGATAACCCCACTGCAGGGTGTGAGGAGCGGAGAGCTGCCCTGCGTGAGTCGACCCAGGGATGAGGTGGTGAATCTGGGGATGGCTCCTGCTCTGGTTCAGAGCCAGGCCCACGGCGCGGCTGCTCGTGGGGCTGAGGAACCCCAGCGGGAGCAGGGCTGGAGGAGACACAGGGCCCCATGTGTGTGTGCAGGGAGGTAATGCGGGACGCACACAGATCTGCTCCGAAATACTCAGCCTTCCCCCAGCCTGCTTTGGTGTGGAGGGATGGGTGCAGAGGGTCACCGGCGCCTGGCGCTGACGGATTATGTTGCAGCTGAGCTTTTTTGGGAAGGGCAGAGTTCTCCGAGTTCACATGTGCCTGTTGCCTGTGATCTCTTGCTGCTTCCGTGGGCTCCCTCCCATCCTCTTTCCTTGAAGATTGCAAGGAAGGGCTGTGCCTCTGGGGCTACAGTGGGGTTTTCACCTGTAAATTATTCCCTCCAATAAGGGTGCAGTGAGGCTTTCCCCCAGCTGCACGGAGCTAGCATCCAGTCAGCTCTGTGATTTGGTGCACCCTGTGTGATCACAGAAGTCCCTCGGGCACGCAGTCCCCAGCACCCCTTGTTCTGAGGGGTTCTGCACAGTTTACCAGCCAGCATCCCAACCTTACCAACACCCAGCTCCAGGTCTGGGCCTTCCCAACATCACAGGTCTGTGTGATGTGCTGCCTGACCCCAGAGTAGCCTCTCCTCTCCACTCTGAACACCGTCTTGCCACAAGCAAGCAGCATGGCTGGGAAACGTGAATGCAGCTCCTGTACATAGGGGACATCACTATCAGATGCTCCCGCAGCACTAAGCTTCCAATTAACTCACTTCTCCTGCAGGATGGACCAGCAGTTTCATGTCTCAGTGGGTTGCTGCTAAGATGCTGCCTCTGCCTTGTGCTAACACATTGACTTCTCCTTGTGCACCAGGTGCAGCTCCAAGATGAAGCCTCCATCTGGGCAAGGCATAAGGCTGGCGTGCCTTCTCAGCTTGGCTTCGCTCTGCCTTCCCACCCCGCTCTGGGAGGACCGAGACTCCCTCATGCAGGAGGAGAAAGCCAGACTGACAGGTGGCAATTTGGTGCTGAGCACCCAGGAGCAGCAGCTCAGCACGAAGCTCATCAGCCTGAAAAAGAAAGAGGTCGCAGCAGCCTTGAACACGGGGCAGTTCCCTCCTAGCATGCACTTCTTTCGGGCAAAAAGCCTCATTGAACAGAGTGCAGTGTTCAGCATCCTGAAGCGCATGCCAAAAGGTAGGCTTGGGCTTAACAATTGCTCATCGTACTCATCCTTTTCTTGCCTTTTGCTCTCTGTGCCAGAGCTGGGAAAGAGCGTGGGATGTAGCAGATCTTTAATCACAGATGGGCTTCCCAGTGCTGGGAATAGTGCTGGCAGGCTGGTGCGAGGAGCCCTGCCTCTCAGCTGGGGGCAGGGGAAAGGAAGAGGTGGCTAGATTGCATGAATGCTCATTTCCAGCAATTGTAGCATTCACCAATAACTTGCAATATGGATATTTCAGCCTTTCAAAGGCAAGGAAAGGGCAGAGGAAGTTAAGATGAAGACATCACAGACATCCATGTTCAACATGGTCCTTTATCCACACAGACACAATAGACTTGCTACCAATCAAACATGCTCAGTACTCTGGGTTACACTGAAAAGGGGGAGAAGATATTGCAGCCAAGTGGAAACATAAACCACTGATGCTGGGCAGCAGCAAGCCCAATGTCTCCACTTCTCTGAGCTGCAGACAGTTCAGTGGAGAGATCACAGTGATTGCTGGAGAAAGACCTTGACTCCTAGCTGGCTGCTTTCTCCCTTTGCAGCTCTCGTTCAGTAAGGAAGCATTGAACAAGGTGCCTTCTTTAACTAAAGATAAGAGACAGTTGCAATGAAAGTTGCCCCTACCTCTACAGCTGTGAGAATGTTCACCACTCCAGAATGCCCCTTTTTAGATTTAGCATTCCGTGGCCTTGCCTATCTGGCTGCTTGAAAACAGGTTGGTGAATCACTTGGAAGGACTTGGCAGTCAGATTTGCTTTTCATTTGTCAGGCGGTGACACTGGTGCATGGATAAGAGCTGTCTGCTCACCACCCAGTGTCTCCCTCCCACTGTCCTGTGCCAGATGAGGCTCCTTGGCTTGCAGCATCCTGAGCAGTTGCTGCAAGAGATTGGGATGCCAGAGTTGCCTTCTCTTCATTGCTGAATTGAGAAGCAAGGAATAAAAAAGTGTTCCTCTTTTTGCCTCAAGTGGAGTCAATCTTTGAGACAAAGGGAGAATCAAAACAAAAATCTAACACCTTTCAACCTATGATATAGTAAAATATGTTCTCAATCTTTGCAGGAGCTGTGGGTTTTAGGCTCAAAGTCACATCCTTGTAATGAGTGCCTTGCCTGAGTGGACCTCAGCCTTGATCAGAACCCCTAGGAATTACTGTTGTTTCAAGCACTATTGCCATTTCTTTTGTTCTTAACACAGGAAAAAGTGCAGCACTGTAAGAGGCAGGAGGATCTAGACAGCTGTGGCACACGTTCTGTTGCTCTGATGAGAGCAGTAGCTGCAGATGCTCAGCTTCTTAGCTTTCAGACCCTTTACAATGAAGGATTATAGAGGCTATCTATATATTATAATCAGTTTACTACAGCTTAGAGTCTTGACATTTCAGTTTGTCCAATGTCACATGCATATTGGCCTTTGTTCCTGCTACTCATGTTCGCCTTTTACTCCTTAGGGCATCAAAGCTATTTAGACGATAACATCTCCCCTAGACTAATAGAGCACATGTCTGTAAGACTTCAGCTTTAAATTCTTTCCCTTTACAAAGAGGAAGTTTATTTCAAGCATAAGAAGTCTCTGCAAAAAGAGATGTCACCAAAATAAATGGATGAGCTGTGGAAGGTGAGCATGCAGAAGCCTCCTGTGCCAGGAAGACTGGCAGTTGCCAACATGCTGCACAGTAGCAGAGCATGCCAAAAGCCCATGGTACTGGCCAGCAGCAGGTGCACAACACAAGCAAGCAGTTATTTGATAAGGGAAGTGCATCTGATGGCAGTTCACCATGGTGTCACTGTCTATGATTTTGATGCATGCCAGAGTTCCATAGAGATGAAGGAAGAGATGCAGACTAGATGCAAGGATTGAGGCTGGGAGTCACAAAGCTGAGATACAGAGGTTTTCTCCAGGCCTGTCTCTTGTCTAGCATGCTTTGTGAACTGCTGACTACTGCAAGAACTCCTCTTTCAGTCAGAAGAGCCCAAGCCATCTCTCAGAGAAGACAGCCTGAAAGAACACTTTTTGTCACAGTGGGGAAGCTCAGCTCCCTTTTGCTCCCCCTGCATATCTAATGGACAAACTCAAGCTCTCATGATGTTAAGCCTCCTTTCCTCTGCTCCCAGAACATCATCTCATTCGGCTTGCTTTCCCTCTCCCCAGGTGCTGTCCTACACCTGCACGACTATGCCATGCTGAGCGTGGACTGGCTGGTGTACAATGCTACCTATCTCCCTGACTGCTACATCTGCTTCACCCACACGGGCACTGTTCGGTTTCACTTTTCCAAGCCTCACCCTCCTCATCCAGTGCCAGCCCAGTGTTCCCAGTGGGTTTTGCTGGAGACTTACCGAAAACAGCTGCGCAATGTGACTGAGTTTGATGACAGGTGAGCAAGCAGGAGGTGTGGGTGCTTCATGGTGCCATTGCATGGCCAGCAGCATTGTTCTGGACCAGTTTCCCCATTTAGTTGTTGCCCTGAAAGCAGGGGACTATATTTCAAGTTCTGTGTACATAACAAGCAAACAGCAAAGAACTTGAGGCATTAAGTAATGCAACAAGAAAGACATTGAAGCCCTGGAGTGTGTCCAAAGAAGGGCAATGAATCTGGTGAAGGGTCTAAAGCACAAGTTTTACAAGGAACAGCTGAAGGAAGAGGGATTGTTCAGTTTGGAGGAGGCTCAGAGGAAACCTTATGGCTCTCTACACCTCTCTAAAAGGAGGTTGTAGTGAGGTAGGTGTTGACATCTTCTCACAGTTAACAGCAAGAGGATGAGAGGTAATGGCCTCAAGTTGCTTCAGTGGAGGTTCAGGTTGGATATTAGGAAAAACTGATTCTCAGAAAGAGGAGTGAAGCACAGGGACAGGCTGTCCAAGGAGGTAGTGGGATCACCATCCCTGGAGGTGTTCAAGAAATACATGGATTTGGTGTTGAGGGATGTGGTTAGTGAGCATAGTGATGATGGGTCAACAGTTGGACTTGATGATCTTAGAGATCTTTTCCAACCTTAACGATTCTATGATTCTAAGTACACTAAAATTAGAGGCTACTAACTTTGAAGTTCTCTGTTGCACCTCTACTTTGGTCTGTTGTACAGACAGATTGAAGTCAGTGGTTTAAATTGCTTCATGTAACCTGCCCCAACCTCCGCCAGCACCTGCTGGATGTGCTTCCAGCAGGGAACAGGGTTCCATGGGAAAGGACCTCACCTCACTCATTAAGGTAACCATGAGGAGAGCAGACAACTGGGAAAATCAGTCTCAAGATCCTCAAGAGGGATCTGAGGCACAGAGGCAAGCCACCTGCCCCCACAAAAGGGGTTAGGTCTCAGCCAGGGCACTGGTTGAACCAATGAGCTCTACACATGGGTTCTGTGCCTGGTAGCACACCATCTGCTAGCAGAACTCTCTCCTCCAGGTCAGGTCTCCCATAGCCATCTGGGAGCTCACAGCCCAGCCCGCTCCTCCAGGCATCACTCACCATTCTGCAAGAGCTCCCTCCCTGCTGTCAGCCTTTTATCAGGACCAGGTATGAGCAGAGTGCCCCGCAGTCACCTCACATTTAATGACTTACAGGTGGGTGCGAATGGCCTGGCTCACCCTCCAGGCATGGTATCAGGAAGACCAAGCCTGATTGTCCCATCAGTCCGTTCATCTTGTGACAAAGCCCTGCTGAAAGGCCAAGAGGAGCGTGTGGTTCTACATTGTGTCTGGAGGCTGGATAGCATGCACTAAATAATGCATGAAGGCAGACACTGAGTGATGAGGACAAAAAGAAACACTAAGTTGTGAGATGGTCAAGGAGCACTACTGTCTGCTGGGCTCCATGAGTCTGCTGGGTTCTGTGGAAAAACAGTGTGTGGTTCAGTGTAATTGAAGGCAGTATTGTGGAGCTGGCACACAAGGGGAAGATAGATGAAGGTGACATAGGTGACCGTAATTATGGCGCTTCCTGAGTGAAACTTAATGGTTTTGAACGTATGTGCACATGTGCTTCTAAATCAGGACCTCCTAGGTCCATACCCCTCTGTATGGAAGCCGTAGGACTCCATGCTGCAGCATGGGAAGGAGGTTGGGCTGGAGGCTGGGGAGCTGTCAGGTCAGCTCCTGTCCTACGTAGGTCTTGACACTTCCAGAATGGAAGGAGAAGGTAGTGCTGGGCTTAGGACTCCCAACCTTCCACATCCTAAGGCTCTACTGTCCTGACTCATGGTAGACAAAATAAGATTGTGTGAGAAGTCACTTATTCACATCTTCCAAAGAGAAAACCTGTTACTCATTCCTCCAATTTCTTCTGGGAGTAATGAGGAAAGACCATGGGACCAGCACTCTTCAACCCCACCAGGAGACTCATAAATAATGTGCAAGAGATTAGATGTCAAAACAGTTCCACTTTTTTAAGCACAAGCAATTGCTCTGGGTATCTCAGGCCCTTGTGTAGATCAACCCATAAGTTGTATTTGGGATTTAGTTGGATTTATGTAGCTTGATGTCTCCTCCTGGCAGAGGCTTTCGACTGTGGCATTCTCTACTGCAAAAGTCTCACAAAGGGCAGAAGGGGAAACCAAGGCAAAGACCAGTGAAGTGATTTTCCTCAGTAAATATGCGCTGCAGCCAAATACGAACATGGATCTCCTACATCCGGGGTGCTCAGACTTATACTGGTCTTTATTTCTTGCAAAATTGCAACGGAGTTACTGCACATAATGTGCAAACACCGGAACAACAGCCACACTGAGGCACGTCCCCTCTTATTTTGATCTTATCCCTGGGTACTAGTCTGAGGGTTAGGAATGCATTTGGCTGCCTGAAAATAGGTCTCTAGCCAGGAATTGGCCCCAGTCTGTTCTGCTTCTCAGTTCCTGGAAATCCTCCCAGCCTCTCGAACATGTGCATCCCAGGCTACCTCTCTTCCTGCGCTTCTCTTTGCCCTTGAGCACTGACAAGCTGAGGGAAAGCAGATGTTGCAGGGAGGAACGGATGGATAGTTGGGTGCTTTCAAGGAGCTATCAAGTGAGCATGGCAGTTGGGAAAGGGTTCTCCTACAGGATAGCGTGGATCAGCAAATGTGAAGGAACAGGGAAAATGTTTCCCGAAAGCCTGCACTGCACCTCTCTTACCTTCCCACATTCCTGGCCAGGAAGACAAGAGTGTGGGAGGAAGCCACATAACATTTCTGCTGTATGTTTTTTTTGTGTACATTTACAGATATATATCCACATATACATGTACATTTATATGTGTATTGGAAGTAAGTCTTTCTGTTTGCTTGCCTCAAAAGAAGGTTTTGTCATTCACATCCAAATCGCAAGTCTTATGGGCCAAGACCGGAGAATATCCTGTTACTGGGGTTAGCTTCCAAAATGATGCTGCTGGGAGAGTCAAGACACCATAGGTTAGGAGACAGAGAAAGGCAGGAAATTTTGCTTTGAGATTTAAAAGAATCCTCACTTATTTACTTGTCAATCAATTAGGATATATGAGAATGACATTTTTCCCCTCAAAAAGCAACACAATCACCACAATCTCTAAAGTCAAGGCTGACAATGGGCATGCCCCCAGATATTTAAGGGAAGCGGCGCTGATATGCCAGATATTTGTGAACCTCCCCCTGCCCGAGGGTGGGGGCCATGCCCCCAGGCACAGCTCCCTGTCACAAGGATGAAGTCATCTACGAGCAAGCTGACACGCGGCTCGAGCTGCGGGAGAATCCCCTGGGCGCCAGCAGACCTCCATCACCTCCCCTCTGTGCCCTCCACTGCCTTATCTCAAGGAAAATAGGGCAGTAGACACACACAAAAAGTGTACACAAAACCCCACCAGAGAAACAAAGCACTCCACTCTCTGTACAAGTCTCCCCTTGGGGAGGAAAGAGGGGGAGAGAGAGAGACAGAAAGCGAATGAGCCACATGTGACAGATGTTAGCCACTCTATTTAATGCACCACTGGAAGACATTCAGATACTATGGCGAGGAGCGAGATATAATTACCCATGGAGGAGAGAAACAGAAGCAGGAAAAAGATGCTCTTTAAAAACAAGACAACACACCATTCACTTCTGCACTATATAGTTCAAAAATGCAAAACAGTTAAAAAAATAGCAAGAAAAGAGAAAAGCAAAAACATGGTCGAAAATGAATAATCCTGAGCTGATTGTTTTTGTTGTGCCCCTTTGGGCATACGCACTGCAATAGCATCGTTCACTGCCTATATGACATGACATGGAAGGCTATTTGTAGTCTGCACCTGATCACTGGCTGGGGTCCATTCTGAAAAACAAGCAAAAGTGTCTTTATGAAGCTTTGCTTCATCTGCATGATCTCCTCATGGCGAAAAATTATCAGCCCAAACCCTTAGGAGATTATCGGGTTATCAAGGCTGGGTCAGCACTGCACCATAAATCTTCAACAGTTATAGGGATCAATAATCGGTCTCAAAGGAAAGGGGATTATAAAAAAAACGTTACTTGATTGATGTGCTTTTAGGAGCAGGGCGGTGTGAGGATTTATAGCCCAAGGCTGGGTAAACAACCTTGAGTCCATACAACTTGAGTTTAAAGCAGGGCATGAGGTGGTGGGGAGCTGCCTTTGGCCAGGGCTGGGGTGATGACAGCAGGGAGCACTGCCACATCTGTTTTCCCAGAGGCTTGCCAAGGTGCCTGGCTGCACCTCCTCAAGCACACCCCCTCACTGGTAGCCAATGATAGGTGAGCGCCTTACAGATGCCCCAGTTCTGGGGTGATGCTCCAGCGTCCTTCCCTGAGCTGCAATGCCATAGCATCACAGAGCATCACCCCTGTGCCTCCCTGGGTGTGGCAGAGCTTCTCTGCCAAGTCATATTGCTTGCTGGACTTATCTGGGGATGATGTCAGGCTTGTGTGATAGTGCAGTAGAGATGCCACTCTAATGCATAGGAGGGCAAAGCTGAAGGTTCTCTGAATTTTTTGACTGGCTGGCATTTCAAAGCTCTTCCTCAGTGTGATCCAAATATCTTTTCTTATGTACAATTATGTTTCTGAAATAGTTCCCAGCACAGAAATTAGCTGAGTGAAGAAGAAATGGAACTGCAGCTGCAGGAATAGGGCCCTGAGGGAGGGGAGAGGCAGCCAGCAGGCAGCTGCTGAGAAGTCGGCTTCATTGTAAGGTTGGGATGGAGGGATGAAAAAGGATGTCCCATGTCTTAGTTTATGGGCCTGGTCCAGATCATGTTTGTGGGAAGGAGACTTCAAACACCAAACGTTATTAAAAAACAGTAACTGCTGTCAAGGGATGCCAGGTTTGTTTCAGTGGAGAGGAGGAAAAGATTTCTGGTTCTCAAACATTTCCTCTCTGCCCATAAAATCTGGCACATTTTGATAAGAAGAAAGTACTGGGGAAAGTTACAGGCTAGAAGTCACAATAATGGTGGTGTTGGCATCTCCAGGAAACTGCCCAGTGAACTGATAGAAAGGTGTCAAAATACTTGACATGCATTTAAGATGCCTGGGAGAATATATGGTCTGTGGGAGTAACACATTAGCCTACTTTGAGATTAAGAATAGTCCTGGGTGACAGAGTGCGATTCTTAGGATATAAAAAACATTATGCTTGCTTTTCTAAGTCTCGTTACACCAAGATAATAAAATCATAGAATCGTTGAATCGTAGAACTATGGAGTTATTTGAGTTGGAAGGGACCCCTAAAGGCCATCTGGTCCAACCCCCCTGCAGTGAACAGGGATGCCCACAGGTACATCAGGTTGCTCAGAGCCCCGTCCAGCCTGATCTTGGGTGTCTCCAGGGATGGGGCACCCACCACCTCTCTGGGCAACCTGCTCCAGTGCTTCACTGTCCTTACTGTAAAAAACTTTTTCCTTGTATCCAATCTAAATCTCTCCTCCTTTAGTTTGAAACTATTTCCCTTTGTCCTATCAGAACAGGCTCTCCTAGAGCCTGTCCCTTTCTTTCTTCCAGCCCCCTTTAGATACTGAAAGGCTGCTCTTACATCTCCCTGGAGTCTCCTCCATGCTGAACAGCCCCAGCTTTCAGCCTGTCCTCATAGAGGAGGTATTCCATCCCTGGGATCATTTTTGTGTCCCTCTAGATGCGCTCCAACAGGTCCACATCTCTCCTGTACTGAAGACTCCACATCTGGATGCAGTATTTTGGACAAGGCCTCAGCAATGCAGAGCAGAGGGGCAGGATCACCTCCCTGACCTGCTGGCCTTGCTTCTTTCTGGATATTCCTTCAAAATGATGGGTACTTTGAACGTCAAGTGTTACCCAGCTTAACACGTAGTGCATGAATTTTTATCTGTCACAAGGTAGAGATATCATCTGTATCAGCCATCAGAAGAGTTAAAACAGCTGGAAAAAAAAACAAAAAAGATCCGACTGTCTCCTAGTTGTATCAGTTGCTAGACCTATATGCCTTGCGGTATTCTCAGTCTTCAGGTTAGGAATTGGGCCTCTGCTGCAGCAGGAGCTGCTTTGCTTCTTCCCTTGGTCCTCCTCTATGAACACATCCCTCTTTTTGCAGGCTGAAAGCCAGCTGACTTCCCCCCTCTCCTGATTCTTCCTCTTCCCTTTCTCCTTTTCTGCAGCTTGCTGAGAAACTTGACCCTGGTGACGGATGCCCCGGAGCTGGCCTACCCTTCCCAGGCTTTCATTTGGAAAAGGTTTGAAGAAGTCTTTCTCATCGCTTCTGGACTTATCTGCTATGCACCTGTGTTCAAGGCCTATTTCTACCAGGGGCTGCTGGAGCTTTATGAGGATAACATACAGTATGTTGAGATAAGAGCTATCCTGCCTGCGGTATGTATTTTTTGGCTTCTCTAATATTCCTTTAAGTTTTTATTTCTTCAAAACTTTTCTCAAGCCCTAGCTTGAATTTAGTTCTTGGACGTTTGCATACCTGGCCTTGTCAGGACGCTGGAAGAGCTTTATCATATTCAAAGGTCTTTGCAGGAGATTTGCATGCTTGAGGGCTTGGAGACGAGAGACGCTTTGTTCTTAATGGTTAAGGAAGATACCGATTGTGGCAACAGTACAAACTGCCTTGTACCATCTGACTGGAGCTGTGTCTGATCTTGCTGGTTTGGAAGATGCTTAGTCTGTGCCAGAATCACCTGTTCTGGAATACCTTCCCACCTGCAGCAGAAACTTATTCTGGAACAGCTGCGTTGTTTTAAATTTATGGCTTATTTCAGAATGACTTATCTGAGCAGGATGCTGCACCAACTGCAAAATGTAGCTTTACTCTGCGGACAACCTAAAATTCTGGGTAGGAGATGCTCCTTGCATTGCTGCTAGTGCTGAAGTCTGCTGGTGACATGTCAGACTTCCTCCTGAGCGCCATCCAGCAGTCCCATGTTGTCTGACACCTTCCCAGCACCCTGAGCCCACCGTGGCTGCAGCAGATCCCCCAGCTCAGTGGCTATTTCCATTTCCCAGACACATATTCCATCCAGCTCTTTAAGCAGAGTGCGAGGGGGAGAGCAAGGCAGCTGTATGCCTGGGGCTCTCATCCATGCTGGGGCAATGGCACCCACGCTGCAGGAGCTCGCCTTGCAACAAAACCTGCCAGGAGCGATCACTGAAGTAAAGTAAATGAAAGCTGGGATTTAGCATGAAACAGCAAACGCTGCAGAAAAGCCCCCCAGCAGTATTTGCAAGTTCAGCTGTGCAAAGTCTCAGCTTTCCGTGAGTAGTGGCAGTGGAAATGTCGCTATGATATCTGCAGCCACCCGGGTGTTGGCAAGGAGATGGCAGGAGGTGATGGGGCACTGGGCTCAGTGGTGGGCAACGCAAAGCAGCAGCACGGAGGGCTGAGTGTGGGGAAGCTTGGTTCTTGTATCTCATACTGGGGAGAAAGGCTGTCCTTTTTTTCTTGTAATAAAACCTCCCCTCTGATTCCTGCTTGCCACGTGGCCCACAGGTGTATGAGCTCGACGGCACTCGGCACAACAAGTCCTGGTCGGTGGCAGTGTACCAGGAGGTGAGCAGGCGGTTTGTGCAGGAGCATCCCGATTTCCTCGGAGCAAAAGTTATCTTCACGGCACACAGGTAGAAAATGAGAGCTATCCAAGCAGGGCTTTTCCAGGGGTGGGCTGGAAATGCTGCCGTCACTGAGCAATGCCACACCTGTGGGTCTCCCCTGGGGATGAGAGGATTGAGCGAGGGGAAGGCTTTCACATAGTCGTGCCATCCCTGTGGAGCTGAGCAGGGACTGCAGTGCCCGAGTATGGGCACAGGGCACAGCAGAGGTCCTCAGAGAACCCTGTGAGTGCTGTTCCCTGGCAGCCTACATACGCTATGTTTGTGCTGCTGCTCACAGGCAGGCACGAGGCTGTTCTCCAAGTCAGCCAGATGCCACAAAGTCACGTGAGGTGATCCTGAGCAAACACAACATATCACTTAGTGGCATTTACTCACTCTGTCTCAGCACGATGCAGTTTCCAGTTCAGAGCAGCTTGTCTCTGGCCAGTGTGGATATGAACAGAGCCCTTCTGGAAAACATACTTTGATGTGTAAGTCCAGCAGGGCTGGGGGAAAGCTAGATTTAAAACTACTGAAATAAAGCTGCTGTCCCAACTCCCAGTAGAATGGTAGAAAGACAACAACAACAACAACAAAATCCTTTTTTTCTCCATGCTGAAGTGTTCCTTTCTTGGTGTGAGAGAAAAGCCAGTGAGTGTTAGCCAGGCATGCCTCACCTCAAGTGACAGAATTGTCTAGCCAGGCATTTCCTGGTTGTTCAGAGGTTTCCTTTCAGAATATCAATTTTCTACTGCTGTTACTCAGGAGATCTGAAGCTGGCTGTCAGATTCAGAAGCAACTTTGCATTTTGGAAATAACCCTGAGGGTCCCAGTTCACAGTTGAGACAACTCCAAAGAAGGCAGGCCTGTGGATGTGAGCCTGCTCATTGCCTTCTCTCTTGTGCTTTTTAGGATGCTGAATATTTCCCAGATTAAAGAAGCCATCATCACCGCTATGGAACTCAGAGCCCACTTCCCAGATACTCTGGCAGGCTTCGACTTGGTAACTGAATTTCTTCTGTGGCTTTGAGTTAACCCCTAGAGGTGCAATGTAACTATGTGTAAGTATGGCATGTGTTATACCAGAACCAGATCCTCTGCCACTGTATTGAAATCAGTGTAAACAAGTCAAAAATCCTCTAGCTAAGGATATTGATGGCAGTAATTGACCAAAAAGACCAAAAAACAAAAAAACCAAACCCTGAAAGAATCAGCCCCATAGCTCCCACTCAGAGCACAGCATAGTACTTCTGGTGCAGTTGGCACCACACGATGCTTTCCAGCTGTAGGGCCCACCATCTTCCAGAGCATGTTCAAAAACACTTGTTTTTCTTTCTGCTCCCCAGGTTGGCAATGAGGATGAAGGTCATTCTTTATGGGAGTTTAAGGATGTCCTGACCATCCCATATTCCCGGGGGGTCAACCTGCCTTACTTCTTCCATGCTGGAGAAACAGGTAAGCATGAGGACTCAAGGCCTGTTACTGCTTACAGAGGTAGGAGGTGAAGTCTCACAAAGGAGAGAAGTAGCAAGCCTGGCTGTATCAAGATGGTGGGGGTATGTGCTGTGTTTTCCCTGTGCTTCCCACACCAGATTGTGGCTGTAGCATTCCTACATGGGGTCTCCAATACCTGTGTAGGCATCATGTTGGTCAGCATCTCTGTCCTGTGTGTAATTTGTAATCACTCTGCAAGAGCTACTACTGCTGCTGGTCCTAATACATTGTTCAGTCAATATGGGTAGTATTTATCCAAACTATGCATGACAGTTATGTCTGACTACTGCATTGCACTTTTAAATGTTGACATCTACAGTGAAAATATCTAAATCTCAACTAGTTACCCTGGGTTCCCTTCACATCCACAATGTTAAGGTGCACTGCATCTCATCCTAAAACAGTCATTCCCTAGAAATCAGTACTTATCTCCCTCGACTGTGAGCAGAGACCAACACGATTAGCTTAGGTGTAAGAGAAATACTGTGGACATTTACTGCCAGGTGAGATGAGTGGCTCTCTTGATGCTGAGCAGTGCCATGTGCAGATTTGAATTCCCATTTCAGTGAAAATGCGAAGTTGGAACGCAGAGCATGAGCAATCCCCTCATCTTGCAACCAAGGCATGCATTAAGAAAACCATCTAGCAGTTTGAGAAGATGCATTTCCTTGTAGCACTGCAGTGATTCTTGCCTATCTCTGTTCAGACTGGCAGGGCACCTCTGTAGACAACAATGTACTGGATGCTCTGATACTGAATACCAGCCGGATTGGCCATGGACTTGCCCTCACCAAACACCCAATAGCCAAAAATTTGTCTCTGAAGAGGGATATTCCTGTAGAAGTCTGTCCCATCTCCAACCAGGTATGTTGGTAAAAGCTTAGGTCTGAGGGCTGGGTCATTGGAATGGTATCTGCCAGAGCAGTGAGGTGCAACTCACTGGAACTGGAGGCAGACAGATATTTTGTTGTACACAGGTTGGCTCAGTTTCCTTTGTACTGCATTACACTACAGTCTGCTATATAGATGCGTGCTGCATGAGTATACAGCTTGCGACACCAGTTAGCTCAAAATCATTTAAATTCATATCCAGGGAAACCTAGAAAGGCAGTGCTTCCGGTGGAGATGAGGCTCAGAGCCAGGGAAGTGCCTAAAGAGACACAATGGAAAATTCATTAAAGCTAGGAGGGCTGGAAGGTGAGAAGCTAAGACAGCAACTGGAAGTCCTTTTGGTTTGGTAGAATTCATAGCCAGGTGAACTCTTTTGCTACACATTATTATTTTTCACTCAGAGGGTGGTGGAGCACTGGAACAGGTTGCCCAAGGAGGCTGTGGATGCCCCATCCCTGGAGACATTCAAGGCCAGGCTGGATGTGGCTCTGGGCAGCCTGGTCTGGTGGTTGGCGACTCTGCCCTTGGCAGAAGGGTTGAAACTGGATGATCATTATGGTCCTTCTCAACTCAGGCCATTCTATGATTCTATGATTAGCATGATGCACATTGTCCCCTGGGCACAGCAGGATGGATGCTCAGAACAGAGAGATGCTTTGGTGGGCCTTGAGGGAGAGGACCCTGACACCAACTCCAGGTGCCCCAGGGTAAGTGTCAGGGAAAAAGTGTAACCAAAAGACTGCTCCTGAAATGCTCACATTTAAGTTATATTAAATAAACAGACGTTATTCACATTGCTAGCCTTGACTTGAGGCGATTAATTTAAGAAACCAATCTCCTCATGCAGTCAGTGGAGAAAAGTAGGCTCCTCCAGCAGCAATTCAGAGCACAATGCCTAATATGCTTTGAATAGCCTTCTTATAGGCTTCTCCCCAGTGTCTGCCTGCTTACATAAGCAGCTACATCAGGTACCCGGTGTGATGGGTGTAAACACGGCTACACCATAACCTGACATGGTGCTGTCTTCCCACCAAGGTGCTGCTGTTGGTGTCTGACTTGCGGAGCCATCCCGCAGCCAGTCTAATGGCTGAAGGACACCCTGTTGTGGTCAGCCCTGATGATCCCTCTATCTTTGGGGCAAAGGGTGTCTCCTATGACTTCTACGAGCTGTTCATGGCCATTGGAGGGATGAATGCTGACTTGAGGACCTTAAAACAACTTGCGCTCAACTCCATAAAGTAAGTTTCTCATCTCTCTCATCTAGGCATAGCAAAAAAACCATCAGTTTTCTCTCAGAAAAGCCACCTCATTTGGGTTTTGGTTACAATCTCCTCTGCCACATGAACTAAGCTTCTGTTTATCCAAAGCCTCCTTTGCAGGTCTCCTTCAGGAGGAGAACACAGGGACCCCCTGTCTGTGCCCTTCAGTGCTTTTCTCTGTTCCAGTGTCTCAAGTTTTTCTTTCTTTTTCCATCCCTTGCGAAGTTTCCTCCAATGTCTGGTTCTGGGTAGGGGAGAGGCATTATGTCCTTGGACAATTTGCCTATTTCTGTTTGAATCTGACTTGTCCTGACATTTGCCACTGGGGAAACACAGGAAAACAATTAACCAGCTTGCAGTTTGGCTGCATTTAACCACTTTTTCTGTTTACCCAGACAGCTATGAATGTCCCAAAATAGTGCGCAGGGCCTTTCTCCGCATTCCTAGAATTTTGTCTGCTTGCCAAATCCCACGCCAGTCCCAAATCCCTGCACGGCCAGGAAGACAACAAACATTCCTACTGATTTGGATCAACTCCAAGGGGCAGCAGCAGAGCTATCTGTCCTGTATGAGGCACTGGGTGCTGCTCAGTGAGCCCTCAGCTAACGGAGGTTGAGCTGAGGTGTGTTCTCACGGTGCAGCGCTCAGTAGCTGCTGAAATGGCTGGGACACAGTGTTTCACTGAGCAGTATGGGTATGTCCCCAAAGGGTTAATCTGTTGCTGCTTCCTGCCTTTTCACTGCGGTCACTGATCTTGGAATAGCTGCCTCCTTGACTCCTGTCTGATACAGGCTTCTCAACTCCTTGCAGATACAGTGCCATGCTACTGGATGAGAAAGCCAAGGCCAGAGAGGTCTGGCAGAAAAAATGGGACCAATTTGTGGCTGATCTCACTGATAGCTCGTTGATGGAGCTTTAGAAGGGAAGAGATCTGTCTCGGAAGGCATTTGGCAAGCCAGAGAAAGCCAACCTTGTTGCTGGGAGGCAGCCTGCTTCTTCCATGTGACTTGAGCAGATGAAGGAACCTCTACGTCTCAGCCAGCCATGGGCAATGTGGTTAAGCTGAGCTTAATGCTAGGAATGAGCTGTGCTATCCTGTAGAAGTCAAGGGCCAGGGGTGAAGCAGCGAGCCTCTGTAACAATACCAGCACAGCATGCCACTCAAAATAGTCAAAATAATTGTAAGTTGCCGATGACCAAATCCTGACATCCTTATTTAGAAAAAGCTTGCCTTCTAATTCGACTTAGTGGATCATTGCCAACATGAGGATCCCTGAATTTTGCCTTACTGTTACAAAATGCAGACCTTGTCCAGAAACAGCTAAGACAAACATCCAGCCACTTGGGCCACTGACCTTCGGAGAGCAAGGACTGAAAATGACTCTTGTTATGTTTAACCCTGGGCCTGCTGCCAAAATAGCACTGCTGGGTTGAAGTACCAGTCGTAGGTTTGATGTCTGCTATTTCAGGACCTACCATGGCTGGAAACAAGCAGATGGAACCATACAAATGTTCCCAGATTGTGTAAGCTTGGTTGCACAGAGATCAGAAGGACAAAAAGAGGTGCCTCATTTGCCCATGGCTGTTTTCCTTTCTCTTCCCTGCAGAATCCTTTCCTGTTTTCTGGTCACAGGAAAGCTAAACACTTTTCACCTGAGAAAACCCACCCTGGCTTCCCAGATCCTGTTTGACTAAACACTCATCCTGCCCTTCAAGGTATTAACATAGGCTCTGAATTTATAGGAAATGCCTTTTGATATCAAGAGGTTCCACTACTGACCTTCATTGCCTTATTCAGCCCGTTCACCTTGGTGATATTCACCTTGATGAGAACCAATCTCATACTGTGCATATCCAATAGGTTCACTTGGACTTTTGCAGTTGCCAGTATTTTCACTAAAAGTTATTACAACAGCTACACAGCAAATTGTGCCTAGGCAAGTGGACTCCCTTACTTAACAAGCTCAAAAATATCATGGAAAGAACTAGTTTCTTGGAGATTAAAAAAATCTTCATCAGGATGCTAAATGAATCCAGCAAAACCCATGAATACACGGAACAAGGAACAAGCCAGGATCAACCAGCATCTCTCTGGCATTAGTACAATTGCCCCGGTTTACAGCAGCCAAGGGAAATCTTACAAATGTTCCTTCTGAAAGGTGCCTCCTCCTCAGAGCCCAAGATTGAGTGGACTGCTGTTTCTTGATCTGACCAGCTTGGGGCAAACTGGCTCCCTTTAAGCTAATAATCCTGCTAATTGTCTCAAGCTGCCTGGTCGTTGTTTATTTCCACTAACCTTGGTTAAAACACCTTATCAGGAGACAAATATACTCACTACAGAAGCAGATCAAGCTGTGCAGCCCACATATCCCTTGCGTGCTCAACGTTAAGAGGCCCACATGCTTCTGTCTAGTAATCCAAGGCAAAACCAACAAAAACTCACTGCAAATGGAAGGCAGCTGGGTTGCAGAAGCCAGCAAGGCAAGCCACTGAAAGCAGAAGTAGAAGCCAGTCAGACACCACATGCAGCAGGTGGGCTCTGTGCTGGGTTCTGCTGGGCCTTTCCAACCAGCTGCCTTCAGCTCCAGATCTGCCCGCATGACCCACACCTTCCTCTTGTCCCCCACAGCCAATCTTTGCTGTTCAGCCTTCTGTGGGCCTCACTGCACATCTATCCATGGGATGAGCTTTATACTGGAAGAGGAGTTACTGTAGAAGCACCTTTCCTCCTTTTCCTCCTCCATGGGTATAGCATGCAGAGCTCAGTCTGAAGTTCCCAATGCAGGCATTCCTTTCAGACCCATAACAGCTACTGCCTGGGAAAATATCTAATGTCTAATCCTGATGAAGAAAGCTGTTGCAAACAGGTAGGATGTCTGCTCACCACTGACCTAAAGCCAAGTTCCTCTGAGTCCCCTCAAAATTTAACCTTTGCTATATGGGAAGGGAGGAAGTATTTATTCTCTATGAGTTTCTTCCTCCATGGCAAGCCTCACTGCTGACCAAATGAAGCTAATAGCAGAAACCAGGAGCCACCAGTGAGTGACACTGTTTGGGATTACAGCATAGAAATCATTGGGGAGTTCAAATTGTGCAGGTCTGAGGTGGTGTTCAGACAAAGCCCTCAGAAAGGTGAACCTTGACTGTACAGGCCTACATTCTGACTTGTGATCTCCTGCTGCTGAAGGTGTCCATCTGAGGGTTGGTCAGATGGCAGACACTTTCCTATCCTAATCAGGTGTGTTTAAATGTGAACCTGAACTGAACCTCTGACTCCAGAGTATAGCCTTCCCTGTACCTCCTTCTGAACAGGGCATTGCCTATGTGGGGCCTTCCCAGGAGTCCCCTTGGAAGATGAGCTATAAGTGTTTTCAGAGCTGCAGGGTTAGACAGGAGGAGGGCTGCCCTGATTTACAGCTGGCAACCAACTCTTTTTTAGAGCATGCCTTATTTCAGAGAAGGATCCTAACAGAAAAATCTAGACTGCATCCCCACCTCTCCAGCTCCAGGTGTGCAAAAAGGAGGGATTAAGGCTGAACCGCTGCAGTTGAGAAAGTGGAATCTATTCCACTTCAGACAGCTTCAAGGCTTAGAGTAAACTTGGCTATGGGGCTTGGCTGGGACTTGGCTTTTAACATTCACAACAACATTTTAAGTGTTTTGCTGCCAGTTTGTTTCTGTACAATTAGTACTTAGATCCCTGATCACATTTAATGTACATCATATGTAATGCTCTCATGCACATTTCCTTCTGAACACAGTATTCATTTAAATCTTTAAACCCATTCCCAGTACTTCTCTCTTTAACAAATGAACCAACAAAAACAGAGCTGAGGATACCAGTATTTTATGCAAAGTTTTCTTCTGGAATGTACAGCACAAGGGGGATGTTCCACGTCACTCAGAAGAGTACAATTGTGAGACTGAAATGCCCTCTCAGCATGGTGCAAAGGGCAGTCTGACCCACAGGGCTAGAATTTTGGAGCTGAGCCTGGGTTGCCCTCCCAGTCCCTCTTCTCCACTCCACACAGTAGCTGCATCCAGCTCTGGGTCATGATTTCCAAGGAATATCACCTGACGGACATGATCTGCCTGTCTCACCTCTCCTTCCATTACAGCTTGTACCATCTCTGCAGTGGCCACAGCACAGCAAGTAAAAGGAACTACTGCAGGTCATTTCACCCACTTCTAGCATGATTTTAACAGAGGAAAACAAGAAGGGTAAACACTCTGTGACCAGCCCATTTCTTTCAAAGTTGACAAGTGCTTCCTGGAGCATCAGCTAACTGTGTGGTACAGCCATGGCCTCTTTTCCCCAATGCCAATAATGGTGAGCATGGGGAGAAAGGGCCAGCTAGAGAACCTGAGACATGGGTGGCTCTGGAGTGAACAGGGCTGGAGGCAGCAGTGAGAGTGGTAGGAGGCTGCGCTGCACAAAGCTAGAGCTGATGGGGAAGAAGGAGCCCCCTTTCGTGTTCATGTGGGCTCAGGAGCAAGGAAGGAGAGCAGAAAATCCTGAGATTTTTCTGTACTGGCTACCTCAAGCTGTCACAGGCACATATCAAACCTTATGCCTGCTCTCTCCCTCACCAGTTGCTCCCTGTGGCCTCTTCAGGCTTGATTTGTGTAAAGGGGAAGTGGACAGAACTTTGTTAGCTGCACACCATCACAAATCCATGGCTGTTCTGTGGCACAGCAGCTCACATCACCTTTGGAGCACTCCAATAAATGAGGTGTTTACCTTCGGGTCACTCACTAGTAGGAAACTGCTGATCCAGCACTATAAGTTGCTGTCAAAAATTAAGCCAGCAAAAACAGAGAAGTGGAAAACAGTTGGTTGAAAATAGAGGTAGGCCCAAGTAAGCCAGTGGGGCTATATGCAAGCCTCCATTGCCGCAGTGGGACCAAACAGAAGCCAGGTGCTATGCAAACCCTTCTATCTGGCCATAAAGCACAGGGCTGCTCAGCCTGAGGTAGGTTTTTCTGCTGCAAATCGCTGAATTAGTCTCTTTCTAAGCAGCAGAAGGACATTTCCTTGGCCAGAAACGTGCAGCTTTAATTGGCTAAGTGCTTAATTCCTTTCTTTAAAGGTTTGCAGCAGTTGCAATGATGGCAAGTGGATCGAGTATTTTCTGCCTGCTGAGGGACAGGCAGGTGAAGGGTCTGGCTCTCAATTCTCCTGGCCTGTCATTTTTATCAGGCCGTGTCCTCCCCCTAGGTCATTACGGGATAAGAAAGGCATTTTACTGTATTTTCTCAACCTCTCGGTTGTCCATCATTCCACAGGCAGTCTGCAGCAGGGAGGGAGAGGAGATAAAGCCGGGGGAAGGGCTGTCTCGACCCACTGGGGCCTCTGCAGGAAGAAAAGCAAGGGAAGGTGGGCTGCTTCCAAGGAGGGTGTTAGAAGGTCAGTAAGGGGGTGATGACAGGGCTGAGAGCCCGGAGAAAACAGAGCTGCAGGGTTTACACAGAAACCAAAGGAGGAGGCTGTGGGCAACCAACTGCTGTGCTTGCCTTGAAAGCGAGGGGGGCGGGGAAACATCTAAGAGAGGAAAAAGAGTCTCAGTGGGCTGGCGTGAGAGGGGCAGAGACGGCCTCTGGGGGTGTTAGAGATACAGCTGGCAACAGATGCGCCCCTAGAAGGAATCCTCAGGACCGTGTATAACATGGAGAGCCAGAGCTCCGGATAGCAGCGCTGACAAAAGCCTCAGCTCCAAGGGAAAGTCACAGGCCGGCATTCGGCTTAGGGATGAGCGGACTAAGGCCTGCTGCAGCCGGCAGGGCAGGCTCTGGGCAGCCAAAGCGGGTACTGCAGGGTGTGGAGCTTGGCAGCCGTACCGCTCCAGTCCTGGCCTTGTATGCCAGGCCCAGCTTGTGCCTGACCACTGGCAAACTCCTTCGTGGGGCTTTAAAAATAAACACTTCAGTCTGCTGGGCTGTCCTCCTTGTAAAAATAAATACAGCATTGCTGCCAGCCCTGGGAGCTGGGGCACACACGCTCTTTGGGGGCCTCTACAGCTCGGCTGGGAAGGTGGCTGGTTCCCCACAGCCTGGCCATGAGGTGCCCACCCCACGTGGCTGTGCTGATCCCAGCCCCCGTGCTGAGTGTCGGGGCGCTGGCAGCCCTACTCCCACCGTGTGAGTAGCATTTGCTGCTGATCCGCAGGAAAAAAAAAGGGCACGCAACCCAAACTGCAGTAGTGGGGACAATTGCTCACTCCCAGAGGGTGAAAGAGAGCAGCTCTCCATTGCAGCCGACCTCCAGGGCTCGCTCCTGTTTCCCCCTTCTTGCCCCGGCGTGGAGCAGCGGGGACCCCTGGCGGCTGTGCGCGGCCCTGCACGGGTCGTTCGAGGGACTGGGTGCGGGATCGTGCGCGGGGAGCGGTGGTCAATGGCTCGATGTCCGAATGGAGATCAGTGACGAGTGGTGTCCCTCAGGGCTCAGTACTGAGACTAGTGCTTTAAAACTTTCGTGAATGACATCGACAGTGGTATCCCTCATCGTGTTCATGGATAACACCAAACTGCGTTGTGCAGTCAACACGCTTCAGGGATGGGATGCCATCCAGAAGAACTCAGACAGGCTCGAGCAGTGGGCCTAGGTAAACCTCATCAGGTTCAATAAATCCAAGTACAAGGTCTGCATCTGGGTTGAGGCAAACCCCACTATCGGTACAGGCTGGGGGATGCAAGGATGGAGCACAGCCCTGCCAAAAAGAATCTGGGAGTGGGTGCCTCATGGTCAGCAATGTGCCCGGGCAGCTGGGGCTGGAGAAGAGGTTCTGGAGAGACCTGGTAGCATACTTTCAGTATCTAAAGGGGGACTGGAAAAAAGAAGGGAACAGACTTGATCAATAGCGTCTGCTGTGATATGACAGGGGGGAATGGTTTTAAAATAAAGGAGGACAGATTTAGAGTTTTAGAGATTTAGAGATATAGGAGCTTTTTACAGTAAGGGTTGAGAGGCACCAGAAGAGGTTGCCCAGATAGGTGGTGGATGCCCCATCCATGCAGACACCCAAGGTCAGGCTGGATGGGGCTCTGAGCAACCTGATCTACCTGTGGGTGTCCCTGTTCACTGCAGGGGGGTTGGACCAGATGGCCTTTAAGGGTCCCTTTCCAACAGATGATTCCCTGATTCTAAATTCTGTGAGGAGAAATCAGAATGCCACAGGCAGGTTGTGGAAATGATGTAAAAGAAGCAGCAGGCAATTCAGTTAAGGCAAAGGTACTCCAGGGAGGTGTAACCATCCATACAGATGTACAACCCTGTGCTGCCAGCACCTTTTCAGCTCTGCAGAAAAGGCTCTGGGTGTGAAAGTGAGTCAAAATGAATGAATATTGGCACGCACGGCAATGAAAACAAACACAATCCCATTCTGTGTAATTGATGCTTAAAGTCGTACACACTAAAACTGCCTTACGGCAAGAGTCAGGAGATCTTAACCCTCTCCAGAAAGCAAAGCGGCACCGTTTCATCTCCACGACCACGAAGGGTACCTTCGGCTCCTCTCAGGTCTCCGCAGACCCCAGCGCCGAGATCCCTCCCCCCAGCAGCACGGAGGGCACCGCTGCCCCTCGACCCGCCCCGCCCGCCATCCCCGCGCCCGCTGGGAGCTGTAGTCCGGGAACTACGCGCCCCGGCGTGCCCCGCCGCGAGCCGAGCCGGGTGGAGCGGCGCGGCATGGCGCTGCGCGGCTGCCTGCGGGCCGGGCGAGGGGCTCTGCGCGCCGCGAGGCCGCCGGGGCCGCCCGCCCGCTGGGGCTGCGCCGGGGGCCGGGTGAGCGGCGGGGGCCCGGGCAGGCGGCGCGTCCTAGGAAGGGCGCCGGGAGCCGCGGTGCGGGGTGGGGGACGGGGCGAGCAAATGGCGGCGCGCCGGTGACAGTGCCCTCCGCTCGCCTTGCAGCCGCCGGCTTTCGGCTTCCTCTTCGACATCGACGGGGTGCTGGTGCGGGGCAGCCAGGTGGTGCCCGCCGCCCGAGAGGCTTTCCGGAGGCTGTCGGACGCGGACGGGCGGCTGAGGGTGCCCGTCGTTTTCCTGACCAACGCCGGCAACTGCCTGCGGGCGGCCAAGGCCCGAGAGCTGTCCCAGGCGCTGGGGCTGCAGGTGAGCTCGGGTCCTGCGGGACGGGGTCGGCCCTGCGGGGAGACGAAGTCCGGGCAGGGCCCTGGGTGGCGGCACGGAGACGGTTCGTACTGCCGCCGACAGCCTCTGCTCTCCCCGCAGGTGTCTCCGGAGCAGGTGATCCTGTCCCACAGCCCGCTGCGGCTCTTCAGCCAGTTCCACTCCAAGTGCGTGCTGGTGGATGGGCAGGGGCCGGTGGAGGAGAATGCCCGCAAGTATCCTTTGCTCTGCTCAACCAATGGCACTCCGCTCATCCTTGTTAAATGCTCGGCCAGCTGTTAGAAGTGCAAGGAAACGACGACCGCTGCTGCTGTCGTCCTAAGGGCAGGCTCACATCTAGGTGCTTGCTGTTGACCTCAATCACCTCCCATCTTAACTAGAGCAGTGTTTTCGCTTCTCATGCAGATTCCCTCTCTCCTGAGCTCCTCCTGCTGGCAGCACAGACCAGAGACTTCGGGCTTCTTTCACTTTTGAGATAAAATTTTGCTCTTTGCAATGCTTTCAGGGCAAAATGTGTCACTCTGAGCACTCCCACAGCTGTAAGGTTTTCTCCAGCAATCTCAGGGCACTTGAAGCAGCTGAAATATCATTAGAACAAGAGCATCGTAATACAGAGACAATCCCAAGTGCATATTGATTTGCTGAGGGCATGGCAGGTCTGACATAGCCCGTATCTGCAAGGAGCTTAAGATATAGCTGCAGCATGTGCTCACCACTTCAGCCCATCAGCTTCATCACTAAGTGCATAAGGGCTTCTCCTCCTCATTTGCACTGCCTCATTCCTGAGGTGTTTGAAGCTATGTCACCTCCAGTGGCAGGAAGGAGAACCTTGTCCAAACTTGCTGCTGCTCACTTAGCTTCTCTGAAGGGGTGGATTTCGATCGTGGTTCTTTCTCTGAGGCCTTGAACAGCTTCTGGAGTTAGCTTAATGGGTCCAGTGGATTTCAGTTTCAGTCCACAGGACTGAAAAAGAGAACAGACAGAACAACAGACTCTGCCCTTCTGCAAGTGTGTGTGCATGTGGTCACACCTTGTGCTTAACCTTTGGCTGCACTTGATGTGAAACATCTGCTTGTGCATGTTTCCTCAAGGCAAAGGTGAGCTAA